TCACCTACCAGCACCTTCATGTCGGGGTCTGGCTGGAATACCCTACACTTGTCGATCTCCATATTGGAAGCGCTAGGTAGATGGATCGTTCCCAGCTGGGCCTAGCCTCGGGTCACCGAGGTTACTCCCCCTCCCGACCTCCTGCAGCCGTCCCGGCTTCAGGACCCGATGTGGTGGCCTAGCGAAGGACGGCATGAAATAGACATCCACCAGCCCATGTGAACCGAGTTACAGGGTTTCGGCCTCCCGAAGTACGCCGACCTCCCCAACTCCAGGGCCAAGGAGCCCGAAGTACGCCGTCCACGTTATAGGCACCACCCACAGGTGTCCAAAGCTCATGGATCACCTGAGGGTCAAGCTGGGTGGCAAACCTGGGGTGGGGTGTTGCCCCCACCCACGAAACCGAACACCACCAGGAACTCTGCTTGACCACTGACAAGGAGCAAATTCCTTTCGAACGGAGGTCCACCTACCATGGTTTGGCAGGGTCACTAGCCATATCGCCATGAGGTTCTGCATCGTAGAGCTGTGAACACAAGGGGCAGATCAACAGGCATTGTCGGTCGGGCAAGTCACTTGCTCGGTGGATGGTCCTGTCAATACTCTGCCAATGATCATCCTCAGCACCTATGCCATTCTATTCTGGCAAAGGGTGGCCCCTACCTCTCCACACAGTTAGCCATCGCGTGCGTCACAAACAGGTGTCACCAGGGACTTTCAAAATCAGCAACACCTAACTAGACCTTCAAAGGGGTGTCCAATGGAGATCCACAAGTAGTGTAGGGCATTGCATTGGAGACCCCTTTGAAGGTGCTGGTACCATCTCCCATGGTCAGTGGTGAAAATCGTTTCGCCTGAAAACAACTTTTTTCAGACTTACTTGGCCATGGACAGGCAAGCAGGGGCTACCACCCAAGAAATATAATGTATATATATATATAGGATCCTGAACCTGCAAAAAACGTCTACCATCCTTTTTCAAGAATGACCAATGATGTTCTTCCAATTCTCTAATCTACTACTCCACCTGTATCCACCTGACTCTCTCTCCGAACAAATTCAACAACATGGATGAACTCCCAGTGGCGCGCATGGTCATCATCAATGCGCCGGCCATCAGCGCGAAAAGCACCCGGCACAAATGAACCTCTGCGGTCGGCAACTTCCTGAGATCGGCGCCAAACGACTTGATTTTTGATTGTTCTTGCGGCGTTTTGGGGCAGACTGGATCGAAGAGATGATTGGACATGAAAACGGTTGATGTCTCTACTGACCCAAACCATCCATGCGAAAAGAATCTATGGAATAAAAAAATGAATAGTTACTACATGTACGCGGTATGCACACCCTGGGCCTGGCCGTGGACGGCATGGGCCCGACTTTCGGACCAAGTCCGAAGACCAAACCCCAGACACGACTAGTGGGACTGCCATAGGACTGCCGCCCCATTGACCCCTCAAACCACCTCTGGCCTGATCGGCAGTCCTATATGGCAGTCCCATTAGTCGTGTCTGGGAACTGGGGGGTGAACTCCACATCAAGCAGCGGTGGGTCAGAACCCGAACGTTCGATCTATCCTATAGCGCCTAGTTCGGTACCCCTGGTTGTCCGGGTGAACGTTCAGGTCACTGTCCACCTCTGGATGTTTGGAGGGATTGGACGGTCGTGTCCTGGACCCGCGGCTATGGAGCAAGGCACGACCGACCTCCAGATGGACGCTGCTTCAATTCATCAACGGGTCAACGTGAGCAATCCCAAAAGCATGGGAAGTTCAGCGAATCGGCGGAGAGACAAGGCATGAAAAGGCTTCCTGAAGCTGTTGCAGCGCTGGTATGCCTCTATGTTTTTTGTTTGGGGGATTGAAAGGCCCAACTGTTTGGAGAGTTGAGCTGAAGCTCAAGCCATCCTTTTGATGTCATCTGGACTGTTGAGGTTCAGTTCTTTAGAAGTCTTGAACTACATCAAAAGGCGGAATCCAAATTGTCAGCAAATCGGGCATCAATGTCTGGCATCCAACTGCTTCCACACCAACTGCTTCCACATCTCAGCAATCTGAAAGGCAGCGGCAATGCATTGCCGAGCGGCGCCAAGGCCAAAAGAAGCAAACTCATCAAATTGAATCCTGCCCAGTTTGACAAAACAGCGAGTGTCTGACAAAACACTTTTGCAGGGTCAAATGACTTGATCTTGCTGGATCTTGATTACTCCAAAAGCCGACATCTCATTTGATCCAACTACCACGTGGTGGTACGCGAGCCATAGCCCCCAAAGATTCCAAGATTCCCAAAAAGAGCACAAATAACTCCACAACGGAAGGACATGCAACAGCGTTTCGTTGCACTAAAAAACGTCCAACGTCACATGCGAAGTGGTTGGCATCGCCTCTTCCCACTGATGTTCCTCTACAAATCAGGGTGGTGTATTTGATTGGCCACGTCGACGTGACAGGCCTCGCTTCCATCCGCCCCCAGGCTATCCACCGATCTTGGTAGGGCCTAGTTATAATATACTTCTTGCTCGGAGTCCGATTGTATGGAGGGACTCGCAGTGAGAGAGAAACATCAGCAACCAACTCTTTTTACCGGGCAAACGTCGACACAAACGTCGAAGCCCAGTGGGGGATGTTCCCCAAGCACGTAAATGGGGTCCAAGCACAACAAGAAGTGGCCTGTTTGTCACTGCTCTCCCATCAGGTCATTCAAGGATTGTGCAGATTGCCAACTGGTTTCAGGTCCCAAATCCACCAAAAGACATGTGCTGTTTGTTTTATGCTGAGTCAGACAAAAAAAGGGCACCGCGAAAAATTCCATGTGTTTACCAGGGGTCACAAGACGGGGTGGTGTTTGGTCCCATCCAGTGAGTGGATGTGGCTCCGGGGCACCTCACCTCCAAGTTCGGCACCCTGTCTTGTGACTCCTGGTAGGTCTCCTTTGTTTTGCCAATTGCTGCAACAGGGACCCTCGGGACGCTCAGGCCAGGCCCACCTCCGAGGACGTAGAGCAAAGCCATCCTCGGGACGCGTCCGTGCGGTCCCGGACGCGCAGCGAAATCGGTGCTTTTCCCACCGGTGAAGGCCATGTTTTGGTCCGAAACAGACCACGCCCCCTAAAGTCCATAGATCGGAGCAGTCAGAACGTGTCGAAGGGGTGCCATGGCATAGCTCGTCTATCAAGTCCCGGGAAAAAAGAACCGTTTCCATCGTTGACTGGCTGAAGGGGTGTGTTCCCCAAGCTGAGCGGCCATGAGGCGAGTGAAATCCACGACAGTGAATCCCCTCGGTTCCAGCACCCCTCGGTTCTCCCCTCGAACTGGGAAGCTTTGTTTGAGAACCCGTGGAGTGCGACCCACAGCACATGCACAAACCAAACACTTGCACATGTACTGCACATGTCACAAAAGCAAACACGTGCATTTGCAGCCAAAGTACCTAAGTCAATTAACATCATGATGTTGATACATCTTTCCAACATCTTCCAACCCTCCACATTCCAACCCAAACCTTCCCCACTGCACCCCGTGTCGCGCCGCGGCACTGCACCGGCGGCAGCTTGCGTTGCACCGCGCCCAGGCGGTCACCGCGGCGCTGTCGGAGGCTGCGGACCGTCTCGTAGACCTGAAGACCGACGCACCCGGTGGGTCCAATGGACGAAGGCAAAGGGTCCATGTCAAATGAATGGTCTATTCCATCCCTACAACCTGAGTGACCTCTATATTGGATCGCTCAAGAGACATACACCTTTTCCTATCAACAAAAAGGGTCACTCAGGCTCTAGGTATACATGGTCTATTCCATCCCTAGAGCTCCAGTCGTACCTTCTGAGCCAGGAGGGTCCAGTCATACCGAACCTGAGGAGGCACGATTGGAGCCCTATCCCATATGTATTCCATATGTATACCTTGAACCTGAGTGACCTCCATTTGGGATCACCAATCACCCAAAAGATTGTCTTTTCATGTCTTTTCCTATAAAAAGAGAGGTCACTCAGGCTCTAGGTATGTATGGATGGCCTGGATAGTATTATATATATACTGGATGGAGATGTAAATGCACAAAGGCAACCATCATGAATTGTCCTGGACAAATTGATAATTACAGTATGGATTGTTTGGGGTATGGGTAATAGGTGGTGAAGAACTGTCAAACATGCCAACCTCCAGTTCTTCAGAGCATCCAGTGGCTCATCCAGTCTGAAAGCTTGGCGTAGTCGTGTAGACAAGGGTGGGCTCATTTGGATGGATGCCATGATGACACTGAGGCATCAGAAACCATCAGAGAGCATGGAATGGTGTACAGTAAACATGATACCTTCGATAGCCCTGGGAGAAAACAACCACTCCGTGACCCATTTAGATTTAGGATCATGGTTCTTCAGGACAGCGGGGTGCCACCCCCGCTGTCCGTGGTCAACTGCATCCCAGCCACCGCAGAAGGCACACCCACACTGGTGAGGTACAAAATGCTCTCCAGCGGATCGTCACCTGGGCAGGTGGGGCAGTCACTGCGGCTGGCGGCTCTATTTCAGGTGGGTCTTCATAGGCTTTCTTCGGCACGAAGCGACGTTCTTCTGCTTCCGAGGCTGGAGGCAGAAGAACAGCTCAGTGGATCGAAACACGGCCGAAGGTCTCAGTTCCGGCCCGGGCAGGTGTGGAAGATGAAGATGAACACGGACCATCCGGCTTGGAATATACTTACACTCCCTGGAACTCACATGGAAGTGGAGAATGGCCGCGAAAGGAAGACCATGCAATCCACGAACCAAACAGGTGGTGCCATCCACTTCTATGTTAGTTGCAGGGGGGAGTTATACTTACTCTGTGGTCATAGTGTGGTGTCATGTACCAGGCCCCCCCCCCTCTCAGAGTGTCAAATCAATAGCTCCTTAGAGGTTCATGCCCATGCGCCACCCCCAAGTGGGGGCTTACACATCCCATGATCTGGTAATATCACTCTTCCAGTCCTCTGCATCTGATGAAATCCGTGTTTTTTCACCTGTTCTTTCCATCTCAACTTGCCCCACTCCACGCGTCTCCGCTCGCGTCGGGTGGCGTGGCTTGCAGGCGCACAGGATCGACGGAGGCCGATCCAAGCGCCGCAGGTCGCGCTCCACGTAGCGACGGATGCTCTCGAGGGCTGAGCGGTAGAAGGGCCTGGTAAGGTCGAAGGGACGGGCGGGATGGGCTGAGATGGGACGGGTTGCGTGTTTTGGAGGAGTGGATGTCCAGAAGTCTGTGGTGAAAATGATGCGTCTCACCGACCAAACAACGTGCTGGCCTCCAGACTCTGCCGCAAGACCACCATGAATCCGGGATTCCCACAAAACCATAGACTTTTCCCGTGTCCGCAATTGATTCTCTTGAGCCATGAGGGTGGAGCAATTCTCCCGATCACACATGTTTGAAGTCCGTGCTGGGGGGGTGCTTCCCGACGCGGAGCTCGTCGCGGAAGATGCACCCGGCCTGCCGGAACAAACCAGCGCGATCTGCTCCATCAATGCTTTGGCTTCTGAGACTTCAGCGAACAACGCGCAGAAGATGGCCTGCAGCGGCAGGGGCAGCTGGACGGCAGGGGCAGCTTCTGTATCTTCTTTTGCTGCCTGCTCTGCATGAAGTATTCGCTGCAAGCTTTAAACATTTCCGCTGCTACGAAGGTCCTCCTGTTGTGACTTCTGTTGCGCCCGGTGCCTCGTTCTGCGAGTAGAGGGACGTATAGGAGTTGCCCGCCAGGATGGAGAAAAGGACACCTTGCAGCAACCAAAGCTGAAGACCCACATACCCCGGGCTGCTTTATGCGTCACCCCTCTCTTCCGAAAGGGGCTATAGTCTAGGGCCGGCCATAGGCACCCCAAAAGTAGCTGTGGGGGGCCCAGGGCGGCGCTCATGGAAGCTTCAATCATGTGGACCTGTTGGATTCATGTGGACCTGAATAGGTTTACTGTAAATCGATGTTCCAAGAAAAAACAGATCGCTTCTACCCCAACCTCGTAGCCGCAACTTGGCACATCTCACGCACCACAAGGGTCGGGGCACCTACTAGGAACAGGAGGGGGAAGATCGAACGAAGGGAAGGAACAAGAATGAAGAAAACAACCGGGTGACAACCCCCAAACACTCCATGTATGCCATATATGATATGCCCACATTGACCCCTCAAACCACCCCAACTGATCGGCATATATGGCAGTCCCATGGAGTGTCTGGGACCTGGTGATTTCATCAACCTCCACCTCCTACCATGCGACAAGATCAACAAGACCAGCAACTACTGACCCTCGGGCCAGGCGGCTCATGAGGGCCAGGACGTTGCCCACATAGCCCTGGACGATGTCGCTCAAGGGGACCACCGTCTTGGTTCCCGTCAGGAACGTCCACCTGGTGAAACAGTGCATCTAGATTGGTGGGCTAATCTGGGTCATTATGGCCAATCTGGGACACCCAAAAGTGAAGCTAAGTGGTGAGAAACCAACTCTAGAGGAGTAGAGCCGCCGTCTTCCAAAGTTTATGGAGTTCTTATGCTTGCGTCACATCCGTTGCAAATAGCTGCTAAAGGGAAGTTTTTGGAGTGCGATGCAGTGTTTGTGGACGGACCTGCTTCCTACCCCCAATGGATCCTATAGAAGGAACATGAAGGAACTTGGGTTTCTAGGTCTACGGCTTCTTACGGCTGTAGTCTTTGGAATCACCCGTTGCCTACTATTGCTATGGAGTGGTGTCTTTAAATTCAAGGGGTCTCATCTTCTGTGCATCCTGGATCCTCCAGTCGCTCCGAGCGGCAGGAACTGCTGCAGCGAGGGGTAGAGCACGTAGGCGCCAGCTGCGGTGAAGACTGACCAAAGCCCCACACGACAAACGGTCCTGGGCAGTGCTTCGCAGTAGCTACTACTCAGTAGCTGACTCCTTCAGCTGCTTCCCTGGAAAAGACAGGTTGCCATATCCTCTTTCCACAATTTTCTCAAAAACATGTTTTGCACCTGGGTGCTTAATGGAGGTTAGGGGTGCCCATTATCCACTCACTTAGGGACTAAACACCACCCCTTTGTGACTGCTGGATTATCCACTTTTCCTGGGGGTAGAGACCCCGAGATTGACAAGGTGGCAATGAGCCCCTTCGTCTTTCTTCGGGCGAGGATGTTCACTGCAGGCGTGACATGTCCACAGAATAACAATTCAATCATGACTATTTAATATCCATGAATTGGCTTCAAATGCTCTGAATCCACTGTCACAACAAAATGGGCTAGAGCACAAGTACAGCCACTTGTTGGCATAGCTACTCAGATCAGCTCCTCAGCTACTCGGCTACTGTGAGTCCGACGATCTATCGGTTCTGTGGTGTTCTTGATCCAATCACTCTTCGTCCACATCCACCACCTGCCGGTACCAAGGCTGCCAAGGATCTTGATGACATTCTTCCGCACTACAACACGCAAGGAGTCATCGTCCTGCTCGCCTCGAGCGTTCGCCAGCTTCGATCAATCGTTCGGCTTGACCAATGGCTGCTTCAAGCGTGTCTAAGGTGGGGCTCTCCACACATGCTTCTCCCCTCAAGCGACCAGAGAGCATCACCTGACCTGCCCAAGTGAGTAATTGGCAAATGGATGCAAATGGCCATTAGAACATAATTAGAACTTAGAACTATTTCAAGTCCCCAACCTGATTAATGCGTTCAATTCATGCATGGTCGCGAGCCGGACGTCCCAGCTCCCTCCTTCGTCCACAGCCAGCCGCTGCACGCGGGAACCCCGGCGCTTCAAGGTGTTGCGCACCTGCACTGAACGGTCCACCGCGCGCGGTGCGGTGCGAAGTGTGTCATAAGCACCGAGTCTTGGCTGGTGTGCAACTCACTCCCAGACACGACTAATGGGGCTGCCATAGGACTGCCGATCAGTTGGAGTGGTGCCAGGGGGGGGTCTGCCGCCCCAGGGCGGCAGTCCGTCCTGGCAGTCCCAGACAGGTCGTGTCTGGGACTTGAAGAATGTTAGGACCTGTGGGTTCGATCATCGGAAACCACCAATTCAAGGATCCGCACAGGTGACGGCTGTAGGGCACGCATGGGCACGCCCCAACCCGGGCAGCAACAGAAGCTGAACAAGGACCACGGATAAAACATGCATAAAACCAGGTCTTTCCTGGTCTAAAGGGAGCCATGTGGGGCCATCCGGAGCCATGTGTCCAGTGGAATTCCGTTGAGCAGGACAGGTCCGGCCTTCACAGCCTGAGCGAGCACCACACCGGCTGCCATCGCTCTCATGAACGTGGTGCCTGGTTGCATTGGCTGCAGCCTGCACGGCGTTGGCTCAGGGTGTGACGCAAATTCAGTACATGTCTCGAAGCATCCTGAACCCTCCAATGTTCCTAAGTGCTTGTGAACATACTCATGCAAGTAGCTACAGGTCCTTCTTTACCACGTCCGAAAATATGTCTTCGAGAAGAATGAATCTGATTGAAGACTAACAAAGACCGTTCAACACCCCAATGAAACATATATATATATATATATCCCCAAACACTCCATGTATGCCATGTATGCCTACATTGAGGTGGTTTGAGGGGTCAATGGGGCGGCATATATTATGGCAGTCCCATTAGTCTGGGTATTGAATCTGAATCAACATCACTTGAGCAAATCAAAAGCATCGCCCCAAAGCTCACCACGTGCTTCTGCCTCTGTGGTCCGCCCGTCCGCGGAACCGGTGACGCCACCGACGCAATGCGCGCAGTGTCCACCACGTGGGTGGGGAGGATGGGCGCGAGCATGGACATGATCGGCGAAGAAAAAATCCAATCAACGAGATGCACGGGATGCGCAGAAAATCCGTGGTGTTGAGACACATGGTGAACGCTCCACCATGGTGTTTCTCTTTGGAGGTGGAGTGTTTGTTTTCCCCACACTCTGGAGCCAAAGCTGTAGCAGAAGACGCAAGTCGATTAAAACTGTCTGCCCTGCATGTGTGAATGTTGGATACCAAAGGCCGCCAGGGCTTTCAGAAAACACATGCACACACCAGAATAAAATAAGACATTTGAGTCCAAATGAGCCTCAGATAGCCTCAGCATGCTCCCACCCACTGACAGTAGTCATGAATGCATTGCAAATCCACTCCTGTAGGGCTGGGGCATCTTAGTATTCAACCGTATTCAGCCACTGGAGAGAATGATCCCCGCTTCAGAACTCTTTGCGAAGCTGTCCCACAAACTGTTTGATGATCTCGAGTTTCTTGGGAAGGAGTTTCTTGAGTGTGGTAGGATGATCTCCCTCTCTCTCTCTCTCCCTCCTGGGTTCTTGGAAGTGATCATGAGGACTTGTTGAGCTTGGACATTTCACCAAACTTGAGGCCAGAGGGGGTGAACGAAAGCTAGCCGGGCTTCCGGTGGTCTGCTGCTGGTGCTGCTGCTGCTGGTGCTGCTGC